GTGCGAGAGGCCGGCCGGCGGCAGTTCCTGTGCCGGGTGCAGCGCCAGAAGCTGGCGGCCGCCATCGCCGCGCCCAGCGACGGCGGCCCCAGGCCACGGGCTGCCGCCTGTCGGGGCTCGGGCAGGAGGAGGGGGAGGAGGAGGAGGAGGAGGAGGAGGAGGAGGAGGAGGAGGAGGAGGAGGAGGAGGAGGAGGAGGAGGAGGAGGGGGGGAGGGGGAGGAGGAGGAGGGGGAGGAGGGGGAGGAGGAGGACGAGGAGGACGAGGAGTATGAGGACGAAGAGGAGGACGACGAGGAGGAGGAGGAGGAGGACCCCCCCATCCAACTTCTGGTGTTGGTGGTGGAGAACAAGCCCATCATCCTCCGGCAGGAGGCGGCAACTGAGCTCGGCCAGGCTAAGCTCGGCAAGGCGCAGCTCGGCCGGGTGGGAGTCGGCGGGGCTGAGCTCGGCCAGGCCGAAATTGGCCAGGCTGAAGTCGGGCCTGTCCCTCTACAGGCGGAATCTTCAAAAACAGTCCTAAATTAGTATGGGGGCGATCTTTGCTGATTTTGAATATTTGCTGGATCTTTTTTGACTACCTTTTATTGTTCGTCCAAAATTATCCTGTAGGGGGACATGCCCGACCTACTTAAGGCCAGGCCGAAATCTCGGTCAAGCAGAATGCAGCCCGGGCCGACTTCGGCCTGGTCGAGCTCGTCTGGCCGAGTTCAGCCTTGCCGAGTTTCGCCTGGCCGAGTCTTTCCCTCAACAGTCAGCAGGGGGAGGGTCGGACAAGCGGGTGGGGGGAAGGTACAGGGAAAAGACAGGGTGCACCATATGCTGCGTTCTGCAGGTTTCGGTCCCTCCGCTGGGCGCCTTTCTCGATACTTGTTGGTTGAGCGCCCACGGCGCCGGGAGGCGCCGGGAAAATCAGCCACGTGAGCTGATTCGTTGACTTTAGGTCGGGCATGTCCTTCTACAGGGGGATTTTGGATGACAAATAGAAAATAACCCTGGACATATTCCCGAATGGTCAGTATTAACTCGACAAGTCGTCCCCATACTATTCTTTGAGTACTTTTGAAAATTCCTCCTGTAGAGGGACGTGCCCGACTTAACGCTGACCCCCTCTTTCGTCCGACCCGAGAGGAGGAGGGGGGAGAGGGGCTTTGTTGTGCCGTCTCAGGGGCTCAGTGCAGCAGGAGGATTGGTGGGGATCGGGTGGGGATTGGCGGGGAAGGCGAGTGGTCATCTGCTCTCGAGCCCCTGTCAGTCGCGCGCGGCACCGGCGAGTGATCGTGGAGCGCGGTGGATTCGAGTTCACGTGTTGTGTGAGAGAGATAGAGAGAGGGAGAGAGACAGAGACAGAGACAGAGACAGAGACAGAGACAGAGACAGACAGACAGACAGAGACATAGACAGAGAAGATGGCAAGGTAGCGCGAGGAATGGGCATAGGAGCGGGATGGTGTCGATGGCGATTACGATGATGACGATGATGACGACGACGATGCTGTTGAGGTCGCTGATGATGATGGTTATGATGATGCTGATGATGATGATGGTGATGGTGGCGAGGATGTTGATGCTGAAGCGGATGATACTGCTGATACGGATGGTGATGATGCTGACGGTGATGGTGACGCAAATGTTGCCGCTGCTGATGATGAGGCTGATGCGTATGGTAACCCTGATGACGATGAGTATGCAGAACACGAGTGCGACTATGATGAGAACGACGATGATGATCATGCTGATGATGATGATGATGATGATGATGATGATGATGGTGATGATAATGATGATGCTGATGCTGATGCTGATGCTGCTGATGATGATGGTGATGATGATGGTGATGATGCTGATGATGACCTTCTGTTTCCTCCGATCCTCTGCCCTGCCATCCACTCCCTCGCCGAGCCCTTGCCCCTGGAAGTGTTCCTTGTCGTCGTCCTCCTCCTCGTATTCCTCCTGCCTTTCTTTCTCCCACTCATCACCTCATCCTCCCCCTCTCCCACCAATTCCTCCTCCTCCTCCGCCCCTCATCCCCCCTCCTCCACCTCAATCTCCCTCCTCGCCCTCTTCCTTTTTTTGTTTCTCTTTCTCTCTCTCTCTCTTTCTCTCTCTCTCAGCCTCCTCATATCCGTCCTTCGCCTCTCTCTCTCTGTCTCCAGTCTGTCTCTCTCTCTCTCTGTCTCGCTTTCTCTTTCTCCCTCGCTCTCTCTCTCTCTCTCTCTTTCTGGCCTTCTCTGTGTAGATACACATGTGTATCTATTTATACCGTTCCCCAAATAATGCTTGCACTCAGGAGTTCTTACTTGTGTTATAAGGAACTGGACCGTGTCTTCGGTCTGGCGGCTATTTGGCCGCCTCGTCGCCGCTTCGTCGCCGCCCGTGTCCGGGCCGTGTGTTCGGTCTGGCGGCTATGTCGTCGGCGACGCCGCCCCGTCGTCCGCCGCGCGTCGTTTGGAGTTGTGTGTCGGTCTGGGGGCAATGTCGTCGCCGTCGCCACTTCGTTGCCGCCCGTCGTCTGGGCCTGCCTGTCAGTCTGGCGGCTATGTCGTCGCCGTTGCCGCCCCGTCGCTGCCTTGTCGCCGCCCGTCGTCTGGGCCGTGTCTTCGGTCCTGCGGTTATGCTGCACCAAATCGGTTCTCCTTTCCAAAAAGGACCACCCTCCCCCCCCGGGGTTAAAGGTTCACCTTGTCGTGTTGCAATTTACATATGATCCTGCCCCTTCGTCCATCCTAGATCTGAATTTACACCATCCCAGGGGGGGCGGGTATCGCCCCCCCCCCCGCCATCTTCTGCAAAGCATACTATGCTAGCGCACACGCTTATCAGAATTCACAAGTTTTCCATAATCCCTTTCTGCAGAAACTGAAACGAAATGCACACGCGCTCGTCGTCGCGCGCACATGCCGAAAACCTTCAAACATTTTTGGTTTTGGAAGGGCTTCACAATCGAGCGTCCAAAAACCATATAAACACACAGGGTTTCGCAACACGGATTTCCCCAAAAAACAACATTCGCGCGCGCTCTTGCGACATTTTTAGAAAGCCATACGCTTTTCATGATTTTCAGACAATGCTGCCAAACGGGCTTCGCGCGCGCATGTCGAAATCGTTCGAACGCCGCGAGAATCCCTTGCAAACAACGGGGCAAAGTGCGCACGAGCGCGTCGTCGCGCGCGCATGCCGAATTCCTTCACAAACCTTTTTTGGTTTCGGAAAGATTTCAAAATCGAGTGACCAAAAAAATACAACAGCAAATGTTTCGCATCACGGATTTTCAACAAAAGCGTTCGCGCGCGATCTGTCGAAGCCTTAGGCAAGTTGTTCCACATGTTCATAACATGCTACCAAAAAGGCTTCGCGCGCGCATGTCGAAATCGTTCGAACGCCCTTGCGCGCGTACTGGGCTGGCCCGATCCGTTTTGAACCATACCATGCGAGCCACTCAGGCGCGGGAATTCCTTCCTAATTTTCTATCGCCGACGCGAAGACGCCGTCATCGCCGTCGGCGTGATCGGCATCGGCGCCGCCATCGCCACTATCATCAGCATCGTGTCTACAATTGTCGTCACCAACGTCGTTACTATCATCATCATCATCTTCATCATCGCCTGTACAATTGTCGACGTTGCCATGATACTGCGCCCGCCCAGGTCGCCGATTCGCATTCAAGTGCCCGCCTGCATGTGCCGAGCGGTCAGCACCACCGTGGTCGCGTCGGTCGCGCCAAAGTAATTGGCCGCTGCGCGCGCGCATGCGCGGGCTGGCGCGGCCGCAGAGATGCACCAGCCAGCGCCAAGCACTCATCGCAATCGCCGCCGCATGAGGTTTTCAAACCAAGTTGTGGGTGGGTGGGTGGGATGGCTGCGCGAGCGGTGGGGTGGACGACTCACTGCGAACATAAGTTAATTGCACATCATAGATTTCACCACCGAGTTTGCACCATGTAGATTTCAGAACTTTGGGTCCTCTTTCAAGAAAAGGTAATCAATCGGATCGACCTCCTCCCCCCTGGACTAAACGGTGGTCCTTTTCGTTCGGCAGTTTACACACGATTCTGCGCGTTTTCGCGCGCAGGCCCACATCCTTCAAATGCTTCCAAGGATTCCAAACTCGAGCGCAAACATTTTCAACAAAAAACTTGCGCTGACGCTCTTTCGTGTTGGCGTGCCTGCCGTGTGCAGGCCCCCCGCGCTCGAGCTGGTGGGCCATCCTCATCGCTCTCGTGCCGCGCGTAGGGTCGGCGCTGGAGTCGCGGCGGCTCGGTCGGGGCGGCCGGCCAGTGACGACGGCCGCGACGCCGCTCTCGGTTCCACGCCTGGAGGGGCCGCCCGAGACGACGCGGGCGTTGCCGACCTCTACGGTGACAGCGGCTGGCCCGACGACGCCATTGACCAGACATGGCAGCAGCGGGCGCGCGAGTGCCTGACCTGGTGGGGCTCCAGCCTGCGGCGCTGCGATGATGATTTCCATTCTACTGCGTCGCAAGTCTCGTCTTCGACAGGGTGCGGGGCGCGATCTGGACTGCCCTCGCCGCGCGTTTCGAATTCGAGCGGCTGGGCCTGGGCTGGCGGCGGCGCCGCGCCCAGGGGGTCGGCCGGGCATTCCCAGCCGAGATCCCCGGGGACATGCACGATTTCGACCCCGTCGGCAGGGTGGCGATCGCGATCTACAACAGGAGGCTTGCTCGGTTGCAGGCGGCGGAACTGGGCGGAGACGCGGGCGATGCGATGGTCGCAGAGAGGAGTGGATCTACGCCGACCACGACGACCCCCGCTTCGACGCCGCCGTGGAGGCGAACAGCGACCAATTCGTGGAGCTGGCGCGCCGGGGGCTCGCGCGTCGGGAGGGCGTCGCTCGTGGCATCGAGAAGGTGTTCAGCTCGAAGGTGTCCGGGTGGCCCAGGGCCTCGCGCGCGGGAGCGGGGGGCGCCCGCGGTCTGGGCGCGCCCATGGCCGCCGACGGTGCCCGCCATGTGTTTCGGGCCGATGCCGCGGGCATGCCGCGCGAGAGTGCGATGCCAAAGTGGGCGATCGAGGGGCCCAGGGCTCGCAAGGAGCTGGCCCGACCTCGCGCCGTGCCGAGTGGGCGCGGCTGTCGGGGGCCAGTCAGCGCAGCGGGGTTGCGCGCGAGCATGAGAATGCCATGCTGATGCTGCGCATGGGGGCGAGCGCGGACCGGGGCATCTGCCACCTGGCCTCGTTCGAGCTTCTCGCGAGGGGGGTGGTCCTTCTGGCGATGGCGGTGGCCAGAGACTCGGGGCCCCGACTTCAGCGGCCTTGGCGTCATCGCGGGCGGCGCCGTGGGGGCCGACGGAGCCGCGCGGGCGCCCGAGTTTCGGACCTGGGTGTCAGACCGACAGAAAGAGCGGGATCACATCCTCAAGCAGGAGACGAAGAGCGAAAAGGGCAGGCGGCGCGGAGGCAAGCGGCCGAAGGGCTCCGACCAGAAGTGGGCAATAGCAGGGTGCCCGGAGGCCAAGGGGCTGACGGCCCCCTTGCCAGGGTAGATGGCTTCTGCCACGCCGCTGGCCACAATGGCCGACTGCTGGCCCGCTGGCGATTGGGGGGGGCCTCGTCCTGCCCCCTGTGCCCGATGTTCGGCTGTCTCCGCGGCGTGCCCCGCCGCGTTCAGCAGCGGTGGTGGTGCCGCGCGGCGCGGCAAAGGCTTGTTGGAGATGCGGCGCTCGGTGTCGACCTACTGGCGACCTCTCGAGCGAATTCGTGGCACTTTCGCAGATCTTCCTTGCCCGGCGCCGCGCCCGCGGCGGCGCGGCGCGAAATGCCCGCGAGCTTCGAGGGCCGGGCTCGGCGTACTGGACCTGTCCCCGACGGCCTCGTGCGATGTCAGGTCAGGTCAGGCCTCCTCCGCGAGTGGGCCCCCCCCGGGGGGCACGCGCGCGCCGCGTGCGCGGGCGACCGCGCCGGGCTGGGGCCCGCGGCTGGCCCGCCGCGACTTTCGCCGCGGGGGGGGAACCATCCCGGCCCGACAATTGGCGTTTACTAGACGGCCCTGGGCGTTTACCAAAAGGCCCTGCCCTGTTCGAATTTCCCCCTGGGTGCTTTTATTTAACGGCCTCGCTAGTCGGGGTGATTATTACGGGGGTGGATTTTCTGCGTCTTTTCCAGGAGCAGCCCGCGGCCGTCGGCCTCGATCGCCACGGCGAGGTGTCCTGTTGTCCCTACCTCGAGGCGTTGGGGCTGCAGTTCGACGGACCTGGGCGGCGGCTTCGTCGCCGCTCGACCCATCTTTGGCGCTTCGAGCTGGCGGCGACGTCTTTTGGCCAGGTGGCAGCTCGATCTGGTTTTGCCGCGCGGTCCAGCTGCGCGGCCCCAGCCGCCCGCTGCTGTCGGCGCCCTCGCAGTGCCGTGCGTTCGCGGCGGCTCGCGCGCGCAGGTCTGGGCGACCATGGGGCAGTGTGCGACGGGAGCCCTGGCTCGCATCCAACGAGGTCTTCGCTGCGGAGGTCGAGCTTGGCGCGCCGTTCAACCCGTCGGCGCGCCCGGGCAACGAGACTCGTCGAGCTACCCGCGGGCGCGCGCGCGGGCGGGGGCGTCGACGGGCTGCCGCGTGACTTCTAAGTGGCCCGAGCGCTGGAGTATCAAGGCGGCGGCGGCGCCGCCGCCGCCTGCACCTCGCCCCACCGTCGATTGGGCGCGGCACTCGGGATCCACTTCGAGGGCGACGGCGCGGGCCAGGGGGGCGACGCCTCGGCCTTCGGCGACGCAGAGGCCAGGGGGCGAGCCGCCTGGGCGCTGCTGGGGGCCCGGGCCGCCGACTGTTTCAGCTGCCAGGGCGCCGCGACGCGCGGCCAGGCAGCAGGCGGGGCCCTGGGCGAGGAGGAAGGGGGGGGTGCGAGGAGGAGGAGGGGGAGGAGGAGGAGGAGGAGGAGGAGGAGGTGGGGGAGGCGAGCGGCCCGTGGGGCCTCGCCTCATGATGATGCGGAGCGCTTCGAGGTGATCCCGATCGTCGGCGCCTGCTGGGGCGATAGGTGGCGCGCTGGAAGTGGGGCCATGAGCGCGTCGACGTCGAGGATGCCCGCGCGCGTCTCACGGGGCTTCGGCGCAGCCTGCGCACGCGGCGCGGGTGCCGCAGGCGGCTGCCCAGCTTGCCCGACAGCCTCGTCAAGGCGGTGGTGTTCGACCGAGGCGCGTCGCCCCGCAGGGCGCTCAACGCCCTCTTCCGCCGCGCGGCCGCCCGCCAGATTGCCGGCTGCGCGGCGCGGCGAGCGCGGCGCCTGCGCGCAGACAGGATCCGCGCCGACGAGGGCTCGCGGCGGCCTCGTGCGCCTCGGGCGCTTGTGCTGGCCCGCCTGGCAGGCCGCGTTCCGGCGCTTCCGCGGCGGGCCGGCGGCGGGCATCTGGCGGCGCCTCGGCTGCGCGGCGCGCGGCCGCCCGAGCAGGTGGCCTTCGAATTGCGCAGCGGCTCTGGCCGACTCAGCGCAGCCTTCCGCGGACAGGGCGTTCGCGCGCTGCCGGGCGCCGACGTCAGGCGATCAGTTCGACGCGGCGTGTCGCGTCGCATCGCGCAGCAGGCAGCGCCGCTCTGGACGCGGAGTGGGGAAGTTTGGCATGTGCATCTTGGGGCAGCTTGCGCCGCCCAGTCAGTCGCTCGCTCCGCGCCCGATAATGTTGAGCGGGCCGGGCGGCTTGAGGCAGTCTCCGTTGGCGTGGGTTTATTCGCCGCGGGTGTTATCGTAGTGCGCGACAGGCGCGGTATCCTGTGGTCGCCGGGGGCTCCGCCCAGCTCCAAGTTTTTCAGATGGGGGCCGCTGGTCGACCTCGCGAGCTCGCCAGATGCCAGCCATGTCTCGCTTGATTACGAAGGCTCGACGGCCGGCGCCGCCGACCCTGAAGAGGGG